TCCAATTTCTTGTTTATGTTTTTGAGTATTTTCCAATACTTCTTTGTGGTCAAATGGTAATAAAACTTTTTCTGCTATATTCTAACGTAAATGTTTATATATTCTCTGAAACGCTCTTCAATCAAGCGTTGTTGTTTGTTAGAAATCCAAGGAGAGATCATGCCTCAGACAACACTCAGTTCTCAAAGAACTCAATCAATGTGTCCTTAAGTTGCATTTTTGCCTCCTCATTACTATTGCTACTACCAGACGCTCCTTTCCATAGTAACAGCTGTTCCTAAATTCACCTCTCTACCTTCAGGTAGAACCGTATCTAATCCAAATAACCTGTTATACTGTGCTGAAACCTTACGCGGCTTATCTGAATCTGAGGAACATTATTAGCTCACAGAGACAATTGCTAGATATACTTTCCTAGCGGTTTTCTTTACCGCAACGCATTTTTACAACAACGACAATCGTTGCAGATCAGATTACTATCTCCGTTTGTTTGACTTCGTAACAGGAATGCTCTCGAGTTTTTTGTTAGTGACAAATGGAGTTGTGAGAGTAGATTGGTTTGCTTGACACAACGAATTTTATATATCCGGTTAGTAGGTTTTTTTGTGCAGTTTTTCTGGTACCTTACCGCTCAACAGACGGTCTGCGCCACAGGGTGCACTCAAATTGGTTCAGCTACGCAATGCCAAAATACACCTCTGGCCAGCCGAGATTAAACTGCTCAGCTACAGCTTATCAGATACTGGTACCTTTTTGTTGCGTGATGTTTTTTCCTTCAAATTTCGTTCATTTTCAATGCAACCGTTCACAAATGAATCGTAAATTGTTTTGTTTTTCTGACAACGTCGCGACACAGCGGATACATTCGGACAAGCTGTAGCTGAGCGGCTTAACCGCGGATGACCAGATATGAATGGATGTACTCTGAATTCTGGCAGCACGGAGCTGAGCGAGCTTAATTGCACCCGGTGGCGCATCTGTTACGCGGAGGTATCGAATAGATGGTAATATGTCCCATACAGTGGCTCATATGGAATGAAAAGGTGCTCCTTTTTAAGCTGATATAATCGCGCAGGCGGAATCCTAAATGCCGGGGCAACGCCACTGCTATGAGGAACTTGAAGACATCTTGTTAATTTGATTTCTCAGCTACCTAACATTAGCAGTACCAGAAAGATTGTTCTACAAGCTCAACACCCTCGGAACAAAGGAACGATCGTACCGGCTAGTACTGCATATATGAAAGGGAGACAGAAGCCTGGCGGGTCCACCTGATAGGCTCAACGCGCAGCAGCGCAATGAAGAAAAGCTCTAAGAAGCAATACCCGTGGACACAACGGTAGAAGAGAGCCATATCGCCGATGTGCCTCGTTGAAAAATCGTCAAGTGACTAGGGCTGGGTCGTACTTGGGACTTGTACAGAGTGAGGAAGTTATGTGGAGAAAAAACCTTCTGACTTTTTCGCGGTAACTAGATCGACTTACAATAACTACAGAGCGTTATCGGCACAGCAGTAACTTTGTGTAAAAATTTGATCAAAATTCGCGCGGTACTTTCCATGTTATAGACAAACCAATGATCTTCGAACAAACAGGCAGACGAACGGACAGACCGATGGAAATGAGTGACATATCCTCGCCAGTGGCGTGGGAGGCAAGAGAAGAGCACTAGAAGTAGTTCGATGTTGTTCCGCGTGTAAGAAATGTTATGTAGACCTACTAAAAGCTCTCCAATTGCCAAAGAACCCGCTACAACCACATTACATAAGACAGATAGATCTTTTTTGGCAAAAAGAAAACCCTGGTGACAAACCGTGTACGGCCGTCGTTCCATCTCCGTTATCTCTGTCGATCTGAGAAAATCCGAGAGGAGTATTTCCAAAAAAAGCATTACTTCTAAACATGTCGAGATTTTAAAGAACAAATCCACGTTGTTTTTAATCTGTGGTTATTCACACAAATAATATATCAAAGTCTCTGCGCGAGGTGTTTCCATCGACATGACTGATTATACCTTGGACCTCTGGTGGGAGGTACGTCATTACCACAGGAATACTGATGCTAAAAAAAGACGCGGACCGAAGTAGGGGGGAGTGGGACATCGATGACTCATCAACATTCAAACAGAAATACTGTGTTTTGAAAAAGACCGTTTGATGCACATACATTAAGTATACAGGGTGTTCGATGCCAACCTTTTAAGGGATGGTACATTGGAATACACTGAGCTACATGATATAGTTGTACCGTTTTTTAGTTACTCAAAATTTTGATAAAGATGCGATTAACTACAGCCTCTTGACAAAGCATTAAAGTAACGTACTATTAAAATTCCATCAGACTTTGTACTATTTATTTTAATATTTGCGTTTCGTTTAATAGCTCAAAGTTTGCGATTTCGGCATGTTGGTCCAAAATTCAACCATTTTGGAACATTTAACTTAGTATCTTTATACAAGCGTATACACGTTCTACCTAAGCCTACAATAAAACGCACTAACTCACAAAACATACAGGGTGACTTTGAAGTTGAGTCATTAATTTTCAGATAATGATTGTAGAAGGAAGATAAACCAAAATATGTGTGTAAAAATAAAAAAAAATTAAAAAAAATTTTTTACCTTGTTTTTTAAAGTATCCTCCCGACAAGTATTTCAGTGCGGACCTGTATTTGATCGTGAGGTCCCCTGTGAGGTCTTAAGTCACCTGATTCACGAGCCCGTTGTACTACATTAACAAAGGCACGAGGGGTTGGTTGCACTCGATTGGGAAACCGATCCGCATAAACATGTGCCATTTTTTATTTCGTTTGAGCCACGCAACAGACACTATTCACACGCGACACTGACTGTATGTATAACTGAACTGAATAAAATAATAAACTGTACACAAACATCGTGCCAAATTCTTTCGCTTTTTTGTTTCCGATGCGATGAACCGGTAAGGTGGATTATATCCGTTGTTGCCAAACACGAGCACATGATATTGAGACAGGGCGGTACTCAAACTTCCAAAGGGCTATAACTTTGTTACTTTAATTTTACCAGAAAAATGGTAAAGGAAAAGAACATTTCTTTTGATCAGATCTATTCACTGTTAAAATAAATGACTCAACTTCGAAGTCACCCTGTATATAAGAATACAACTATCACTGTAATTATGTATTGATTAAATTCAAGTTTTGGTTTTATTGTGAGCGTCATTCATATTTATATATGTTCCGCGTTTGAACATGATTTAATATAGTTTTGAATTACTTTTATATAAAAGTGCCAAAATTGTGAACTTTGGTCTTTCGAAAAGCAATCAAGTAATATAATAAAAAAAAGTTCATGAATATTTAAAATACATATGTTCTGATATATGCAAATGTAAAAATTTCGCAGATGCAATCAACTTGGAATTGAGTTATTTTCAGGGCTTATAGACCCTTACCCTTAGACACTGGGCAGCCAAAAAACTAGGCCTTTTCACCTTATTTAATATGGTTTTGAAAAACTACACTCTTATGCAAAAATATATTTGTGTAGAATGATTTGCTAAAGATAAGGACCCAAACATCCCGTTTCATGGAAACGAGAAGTCTCTTGACCAGTTCTGTCTTAATACTGCATTTGGCATTACCTTCTAACACACTGTATGTTAAAGCGCCTTATACAACTTTCTCGTTCCGAAAATACACTTGCGGTTCTTGCAGTTACTCTACTTTCCCCTAGAGGTTCAACTGAGCCCTGTAGTGGTTAATAAACGAGAAAGATGAGCACTGCCGTAATTATAACTTAGACGGAGATAGGAAAGAGCAACTAGTTTTATTTTCTGTAATTATTGAGGCTCTGCCAGTATAGTAGCTCTTGTAAAAACTATATAATGAGGATCATATCTATGGGTAAACACGTAGGAATATTGTTTTAAAAATTCAGCTCAACGTGCTCCAAAATTATTGTTATGATACGTCTCGAGTATTTTAATGGTCTAAATGGGCCATTTAACATGATAATCTGCCTGAATATGTTGGTTGGAGGAGTGTTTTAATGAAACAGAAACAGATTTATCATAGGCTTGTAACAAATAAACCACGTATGGTATTTGAGATCTCTTAGTACATGTTGAATATATTGTTATACCCAGTATATTGCGTTAGGCTAAAGTTTGAGTTCTGTAATGTGTCAAATTGTATGTTAGCTATGTACTTATCAGACAGATTTCAGTGTTGTTATTTTAAAAAGTTAGATTTGTGTCGTACAAAATCGAATACCTTGCTAATATACTGACATAAAGGTATAAAGATATTTTCGTACATTGTACCATTCGCTCTATATCTAGGAAATAAATTCGTGAACTCTTAAATACGAACATCAACTAGATACATAATCTACTGCGACTAATTTTTGCCCTTTTTGTAATTTGTATTATACAGCTGCAACTTCCAGAGGCAATGCCTCCTATTGGGCCTGTTTTTATTCTATATTTATTTACTCATGTTGTTTTTTTTTGTACATTGAATGAATAAATAATATTATTCACGAAATTTAAGGTCGTATACAACATAAAGGTTGAGTAAGTTTAGTTTTTTAGCATATAAAACGTGAAAAAGTGAGATGTATAGAATCTCATTTCTAATGCAACAAATAGAGACCATTTGTGACAATATGTATTTTTTGCAAGATTCAGAGGTTACTACTATCTGGGGATGTTGTACGATACCTCTAATATTGAATGGTGGAGTTGTGGTTGAAATTACTGACGACACAATTCGACAAGAGAAATCTCCAACATATTGCTGTAGCTAATGTGGAAAAACTGGCTTATCCAAGTTCCTCATTATAGGTAAAAGTCTTAGTTTTGAGTATTGGATGTTTGGGACTTGATGAAGCTCAAAGTATGGCTATTCTACTAACCTTTGGCAGTAGCGAGAAAACACTAGAAGCAGTTCTACTTTTAGTAGTTATATAAAAATTATGTAGTTTTGTTTCCAAGGTTCTTATATTGATTCTACTTTTCTATTCCAGGTTTCTGCTACGGACCCAGACTGTGGAGTGAATGCTATGGTGAACTACACCATCGGAGGTGATGGAGGTGCAATGATCCGACCAGCTGAGTTCAAGGTCAAATCCGATACAGGAGATATATGCATCAGTTCGCCATTGGACTATGAAACAAGAAGTGTCTATGAGTTTCCTGTTACAGCAACTGATAGAGGTAGGCATTAATAAAATACATGAACAAGTACGTGTGAGGAAAATTTTGACGGTCCAAACGTCGAAGCAATGACTGTCTTAGGGTATATGGTATCTTTAATCTATAGTTCAATCACCTAGTAGTTTTACCTGGAAAGCTTTGTGAAATTTATAAAATGTCATCCTCATAGGTTCTGTCTGACTCTTTCGGAATATTCTACCTCGTACCTTTTCTGCTCATCACGCCATATTGTGAAAATTACACACAAAAGTACTTTTTCACAAAATCAGTCTATTTTTTGCGCAGTTTTTTCCACCACAAAAAACGTCCGTACAGATCGGAATTCAAAGTTAATAAATTTTTAATGATTCTTACAATCTGCAAAGCGTTTAAAAACATATCTATGAGCGCCCACAGAAATCTATAAATAAAAATCTTGTTTTCAAAATTCTTTTCGAGCACCAAATTATTGAGTGATATCTCGATTATGTAAAAATGGCGCTACAGATCCGAATTCAGAATTAATATATTCTTAATGATACATACAATCTGCACAGCGTACCTTTGAATAAAAACATATCCATGGGCGCATACAGTAATTCTTCTCAGGGGGTCCAATCATCGGCAAGAGATAACTTTTTGTAAAAGTTTAGCTGTCCCCAAAACTTTTTGAAGAACAACGGGTAGCAAATTTTCTCAAAGGTGGGAAGGCAAATTGAAAATCATGCTAAATATGCAAATTTTGCAAACTAGATTCTTAGTCCCCTGGCACCCCGCTGCAGACAACAGTACTTACAAACAGTACTACTACCTACGGTGGGTCTCGGCATACTTTACAATTTGCCTCCATCTGGTGCGGTATTCCATCACTGATGCGTCAAAGTTAAAGTCCAGTTTTGCTAGGTCTCTTTTACCAACTTACCGTTTGATCCGTTTGGTTCGCAGTGACGTGAAGGCTAGCAAGCGAACCTCTTTCTTCTGTAAAATCTAACCTAAGTCTTTGAATGCAGCAAGCCCTTGATTTGTTGGACATCATAACTAACCCCAAACAACTGTCTGATTCCCATGTTCGTTTTCATGCGATATTCACCTGTATTTGGGTCATAGAGAGGTCCAAAAATGTTACGTAATGCCTTGCGTTCAAAACGCATAAGCCGTTCTCCATTGGCTTTCGTCTTCGCCCACTTTTCACAGGCATGCATCGCAATAGGCCTTATGTCTCTCTCATAAATCCTAATCGTAGATGAGCATGTGGTATTTCTCACTTTAACGAGATCATTTGGTAAGAACATGCACCGATTCGCAGATTAGATTCTACCGTTGATCTGCTCAGTGATGTCACTGACGGCAGTGGTCGTTGCTGCAAGGTACTTGAAACGCTTAACTCTCTCAAAGTTGTAGGAATCCATTATTACATTTTGTCATATTATAACCTTTCTTCATTTTCTGTACGCGCATGTATTTGGTTTTATGTTCATTGACTCCTAACTTCATTTTTTAACATCTGCCTCTACGTGTCCAAACATCAATTGAAATTTTTGGGGTAATTTGTGCTTTTCTAAAATTATATTGAAAAGAAATGATAGAGTATCACCAAGCTTAAGACCCGTAGTTATTGTTGAAAGAATCAGAGAACTGATTATTTAGTCATACACTGGTTGTACTGTCATTTACGCGTATATTGACTATGTTAGAACCGAAAATTCAGCTAACGCATTCCATCAAGGACGCCCATGAACATCTCATAATTCCCCTATAGCACTTCAGTTGGTAGAAGTCGACCCCACATTAACACCATAACTGGGGCCGCATAACTCAGTTATTACGAACAACAACAAATTTCCGACTGCCAAGACATACTTGAGATAGATAAATCTGACTGGTACAAGATAGTTGGCAAGACCCCTTGCGGAGTATCAACTTCGATGGTGTTCCGACTCTGCCTACCTGCGAACTTCCCGGATTCCATGCAAATATCAACATGCCACCGTATTTTCAATACAGTCCGTGTAAAGTCAGAATGTTGTCGAACTGGGTAAATTTATTTCTATGGCCAATGATAGGAAGAGTTTTAGAAAAATCGTCATCTCGGATAGTATTCGAGAAAAAAATGAGCTGCATCAAGAGGTTCTCAAGCGTCTTATTAATTATTTAAGTGTACTTAGCGAAAATAAATAAGTATAGTATTACTTATTACAATTTAATTTAATACAAACAATAGTGCAAATCTTTCATATGGCCTCGATTTGTACATAACAATATGGTGCAAAAAAATTTAAAACTTTATGAAATGAGAAATTTTTTTTGGGAACCAGCTCGGAAAATTTTCTCTCGAAAACTATGCGAGACGGCCTGTTATAATAACAGGAAAAAATTCTGTTATAATTCTTCACCCTTTTTTATTTTATTTGTAAAAGTTAAATATTAGGACGTCAAGCAAAACACATGTGTTCTGAATTTCATTCAAAGCAGACTATCGGTTCCAAAAATATCAAAAAAAATGTGTTTTACAGAGAAAAGTTTGAGGTCCTCTAATATATATATATATATATATATATATATATATATATAGGTATAAAGAGAAAATTATCATGCGGAGAAAGGTATATAACAAAAATGCAAATGTGCATTCATTTCGGGCCTGATGAAGCCAGCAGAAATACGTATCGCTCGGGTTACCTATCCTATTTTCTGCTCGAATCCACTTTTTGCGGATTTTGCCCATTATTTTCCTATTTTTGTTATATACCTTTCTCCGCATGATAATTTTCTCTTTGTAGATCCTTTGGGCTTGAAGTACCACAACAAGTGGCTATAACCGGCCGCGTGGTTGTGATTATTTGTCGCCTTGAAAATTCAAGGTCTTCTAGCCATTTTATACTACAATGTGTAGGTTGGCTCTTGTTGTGGAATTCGTGTGTCTTTTTTTTCCTCTCCATCTTCGTTTCCTCATGTTACACCCGTATCCGGATGTGTGGGCATGTGTATCTACTTTTGTAGTTGCATATATGCATTCATTTCGGGCCTGAAGAAACCAACCAGCTGAAATACGTATCGCTCGGGTTACCTATCCTATTTTCTGCTCGAATCCACTTTTTGCTGATTTTGCCCATTATTTTCCTATTTTTGTTATATGTAGGTATATATATATATATATATATCTTCAGAGCTGCTAAAGGTGTTCAATATCTTTGCAGTCTATTTTTGGTTGTGTCTTATCCTTATTCCTGCTTACCAGCCATCACTGAATGAGCAACTTTGAAATCGAAAGTTTCCCGCTAACGTTATTCGCCATCTACATTCCCTTACTTGCATCCCATTAACTATTTATGAAGTGCAAAGGAGGAAAAACAAAAGCACAATCACGATGTCATTCGTTGCAGTGCTAACAGTGATGCTCACGAGAAATCGTGAGCGAACATCCCTAAACAGTGGCGCGCCGTGAAAACGGTTCAAAGGCACCAGGCTTGTGTTTAAGTTCATACCGTGCTGGCTTTCAGGATCACGAACAGTCTCACTATTCTCATTGCCTACAATAGCCATTGGTAATGATTGAGCAGGAGCGTATGCAAAATTCGGTCTTCATAAAGTGTAGCTCGTTTAAGAGCTTCAGTACTCCTCATCTGGAGGGTAATACTTCAAACGTGGCGGTAAAATAGCTGCGAGAGGGCGTGGTTCTTTCAACTTTCGGGAAACTGTATTCCTGAACACTGACAGAAGCGTGGGCGCCCGCAAGAATTTTTCTCGTGAGGGGGGCGGTCATCGGCAAGAGATAACTTTATCTGAAAGTATACTTGCCCCCAAAAATTTTTTCGCGGGGTGATCCCAAGAATCCTCACAGTCGTGCACAAAATAATGCTAAATATGAAAATTTTAAGGTTCAAAAGCATAGAAGATTTGCTCACCGAGTCACTCTCAGGATAAACGGTGCAAACGTGTCGCCGTTATCCATCAGTCTCAACTCTGAGGACGAAGTTAGCTTTGTGATGCTATGAAGAACCCAAGAACATGTTGTTTTTCCGCTGATAGATGTACCCAAAAACTTGTTTGACAGGTGTTAACAGCTGTCAGAATTTAGTATTGTTCCCCAAGGAAGAGAACCGCGCTTATTTTTAGTAATGCTACTTACTCTTTATCAAGAATAGAATCCAGGAAGTATAGTTGTGTGTAATATTCGCCTATTCGTGATCAAGTCCTTAAGAATAACCCATGCTTAATGTACGAATGTTAGTGTTTGATTTCTGGGTGCCTTACAACATATTCTCACAAAACTCAACCCGTTGTGCACAGTCGCTTGGAAGCAATTCTTGTACTTGCAAGGATGCATGTTCTCCGAGCGTAGTATTGTGTGCACTGAAGTATGGGATATGTTTCTGCTTCGGGCAATGGCTCTGGTGCTTATAGAGGGATCTCTCTCGGCTGCTTCTATTATATCTTATATTTCTTCTGGGCGTATCCTCGGCACTCCTACATGACGATGACCGCCTAGTATGCGGCCCTCCATATACGCATTATAGACGCGTAGAAAAAGGCGTTACCCGGGATATACCGCCGGTTGTGGTCCACCTCTTCTAACCACATACTCCCAATACATGCGAGCAGCTGCTCGAGCATTTCCTAGGACGGCACCATACTAGTAGTGGATTTCTGCATAATCTCGCAGAGAATATGACATAATTCTACTCAGATGCCAAACGTTAGATACAAATTTTACGCTGGACCATTGCCTGACTCAGTAATTTTGGTCGTACCGAAGATTAAACGCTTCCACACGTGGAATGCCGAATTGAATGCCCAAGCTCATTAAGCTGATTTGGCTATTTGCGTAAAAAATCCGCCATTTTGATTTTACAAAATTTTAATACACACCGTTTCACACGCGCTGCTAGGACGAATTTACTTGTAACTACCTCATATGTCAAAATCCACTAAGTCGTTTGGACTGTATAGTAGCTCGTAAAATAGAATTTCTTGTTTACATGTATAGATACGCACCTGCATCAAACATACAGATTTTTAAA